TATATCATCCTTTTCCCGTCAACATCCCACCCACCTCATTATTTTGTTCCCTATTTATACAAAAACAAAATTAGTATCCACTAACCTTTTTTGTGTTTGATATGATATGTGGTAGTAAAAAATGGAGACACCTAGATAAAAGCAGAAGCTACATCTGGAGACTATAATGAGGCACAGAATGGAAAAGTAGTCAAGTAATAAAGTCACAAGTCCTTTTAATTATTCTGCTATTATATTCCTTAGCCAGCTAAAAGTAATGAGCTGAGAGAAATTAGTAACCTGATAATAACCAAAGAAATAACTCCTAAAATAGAGATATTTTTGTGAGCTAAAAGCAAATGGTAAGTAAGCAAGAAAGGGAAGCTCTCTCTATGGGCACTGAGGGTGAATCTCATTTTTAATTCCTTTGTCAGTGTACAAGCTGTTGCTTTCTTGCTATACTTACCTTCCATGGAATTACGTGTCTCAATAGTGTATGCAAAAATTTACATGCTTAATACTAGGGAATTCCAAATCCCCTAGTCTCCCCATTTTATATTACTCATGGGAGGAAAGCCCCTTTAGTCCTATATTATACCTACTAAACCTAGCTAGCAGTGAATTATTGAGTTACACTTGTCTAAACTTTAGAGAATCATCCCCCCCACTAGATTTATAGTCTCTTCTCCTCTTCTCAGTGTCCTCAAATTAAAACTCTTTTTTTTCTCTCTTTAGTTCTGTGAGTTCTTGAAGAAGTATTTGAATTAGCAGTTGAAGATCCTCAAAGATATGGTGGCCATGTAGCTATCCTAAAAAAATAGGAACCTCCAAGGATTGCCTTGGAGTGTATATGTTTGACAAGCTCACCCTAAGGAACAAATGAATTATTCTTCCTACTTCAGAAATAGCTGGATCTGTTGACTTAAATATTGTCTGACCTGTTACGTTAGAAATAAATGCTACTAAAACTGGATGTGTGTGTGTAGTCTCCTTGTATTCTGAATAAATAAGAGTAGGAAGAAAAATGGACTTATCTTTTTGTTCATTTTAATTGTCATGGTTATAGAAATCAGGAATATATGATGAATACACAAAAAACTATAAATCAAATTAGAAATTAAGTGAATAGGTCACTTTAAATATTCAATGAAGGAGAGAGAACTTCTGTTTTAGAAGTCAAGGAAGGAGGGAATGGATATCAGCAGGTGAGAGAGAAGGGAAAGGGAGTCTATTCCTTGCTTATAGGATGGTGGTCATAAATGCAAAGAAGTGGAAGAGAGCAGGAGGAGACAGGGAAACAGTAACTATTCCAGTTTGGCTGGATTAAAGAGATCGTGATGATCACACAGTAACATAAGGTTCAAAAACCATGTTGGGCACTTGGTGGGTAGTTATTTAATTTGTTAGGCAATGATGAACCACCGAAAGTAGAGAGACATGATGAAATTTATAAATAAGACACAATACTTTGGCAACAATTTAAGGGATGAAGTGAGGTGGGGAGGGGTTAGAGACAGGGGGACAAACTAGAAATCTATCACAATAGTTCCCATGATATGAACCTGAACTTGGATTGGATTATTGGAAGTAGAAATGAAGGGATGGATATGTGAGATACTAAAGAAACAGAATAAAAATAACTAGTTGGATATAAGTAGTGAGGGTGAAGAGTCAAAAGCAACTTTCAGATTTCAAGCTTTGGTGACTGGGAGAATAGTAAAGCTATCAAGAGAAAAGGAGAAGATAGAAGGAAGGATAGGTTAAAGAATAAAGATCTGTTCAGTTTGGGATGTACTGAGTTTGAATTGGTGGTGAGACATCCGGTTGAAGATGAGAAGAAATTAGGGAGTGGAATCTTAGAGAAAGTCTAGGTCTGAAGCCACGGATTTGGGATTCATCAATGCAAAAGTTGTATCTGAAGCCATAGGAGGCAATGAAATTGCCAGGGCAAAGAAGGCAGAGATAGAAGATAAAATCATAGACAGAGCTTTGTAAGACACCTACACTTGAGGGTCAGAAGGATAAAGAGGAATTAGTAAAGGAAACTAAGATTGATCAGAAATGGAGGAGGAAAAAAACAAATAAGTGCAAAGTCATGGAAGCTAAGGGAAGAGAAAGAATCAAATGGTTAATGGCATCAAATGCTACAGACAAGTAAAAGAGAACGGTGATTAAAGGATGCCATCGGATATAGCAAATGTCATTGGAGGGAGCAGTTTCTGAAAAAGTGATGGGAATGAAAACCAGATTTCAGTTGAGTCAGTTGATAGTGAGAAAGTAAAGATAGTATATGGGAGGTTCCTCTTTTAGGGTTAGTGGTATTAATTTGAAGAGTATTAGTCTGAAATAGAAACAAGATGAAGGATATTCTTTAAAAAAAATATTGTATGCTAAGCATGTTTATAGGCAGAGGGAAAAGTAGAGAGATATTGAAAATTCACGAGACATGGGGTGAAGACTGTGAACAAATTCCTGGAGGGGACAAGAAGATCAAAGGCCCAAGTGTCAAGCAAACTTTAACAAGGAAAAGAGTCATCTCATTCTCTGAAAGACTGCAGAAAGGAATAGAGGATGAGAGAAGTCATAAAGCGGTTTTGAGCTTTCATTAATATTGAACTTTCAGACAACTATAATCCTCTAGGTTTTCTTGTTTGTTTTCCCAGAGAAAATACTGTCTTACTATGCCATGCCCATCCTATACTTCTACAGTTACCTTTTTTTGAAACTATTGCTGGATTTTCTCTTTATTTTTACTTAAATTTTCTTATTAGATTCATCAAGTATATTAGCTATTTCTTCCAGTTTGATGTTCTCAGAAAATCTGATAGATTTTCTTTTTATCTCCATTTTTGACAAAGTCATTGATAAAGCTGAACAGAACAACACTGAGGACAGAGTCCTGTAGCATGCCAAGTAACCAATTCAAGCCCTACCACTACCAATTCAGTAATTTAGTGATCGCGAACAAGCTTCAGACTTATGTACTAAGACATAGATAGGTTATGATCTGCATCAAGAGTTTAGAAACCTGTACAGATGCTTTGGGTAATTTACATTTTCATACAATCATAGAGATGGAATGGGCCTTCGAGGTCCAAACTCATCATTTTATAGTTAAGAAACCTGAGGCCCAGGTTCTGACTTGCTCAAGGTCACACAGATAGTATATCGATCAATCAAATAACCTTTATTGTTTGCTATGTGCCAGGCACTGTGCTAAGTGCTGAAGATATTCAAAAAAAAACAAAAAAAACAAAAGACAGTCCCTACCCTCAAAGAGCTTACAATGAAATGTGGGGGGTGGGGGGAAAGGAGAACAACATGCAAACAAATATATACAAATCAAGCCATATAAAGGATAAATAGAAAATAATTCAAAGAAGAAAAGCACTGGAATTAAGAAGGGTTAGGGAGGACTGCTTATAAAAGGTGGGTTTTTAGGTGAGACTTAAAGGAAGCCATGGAGGTCAGTATTCAGAGTGGAGGAGGTAGAGCGTTCCAGACATGGGGGACAGCCAGAGAAAACAGAAATGTTAAGTGCCAAGAGATGGAATGTCTTGTTCATGGAACAGCTATGAGGTAAGTGTCACTGGATTGAAAAGTATATGCTGGAGAACAAGGTGTAAGGAGACCAACAGGAGGAGAAGGATAGATTATGAAGGGCTTTGAATGCCAAACAGAAAATTTTGAACTTGATCCTGGAGGCAACACCTGGAGGAAGCCACTGGAGTTTATTGAGTAGGGAGCTGACATGATCATACCTGCGTTTTAGGAATTGCAATTTAGTGGTTGAATGAAGAGCAGATTGAAGTGAGGAGAGGCCTGAGGCAGTCAGACCAAGCAGCAGGCTATCACAGAAATCAAGGTGTAAGGTGATGAGGGTCTGCACTAGAGTGGTGACAGTGTCAGAGGGAGAAGTGGGCTTATTCTAGATGTATTGCAGAGGTGAAATCAGTAGGCCTTGGCAACAGACTGGATATGGGGGATGAGAGATTGTGGGGAATCCATGATGACTCCCAGGTTGTGAGCCTGAAGGACTGAAAGGATGTTGTGCCCTCTACAGTAATTAGAAGGGGGGGGTTCAGGGGGAAAGATAATGAGTTCTAGTTGGGCATATTGAGTTTAAGATGTCTATTAGACATTCAGCTCAAGATATTTGAAAAGTAGTTGGAGATGTGAGATTAGAAGTCTCACATCACAATCACAAAGAGATTGGAGCAGGAAAGGTAGATTTGGAAATCATCAGCTTAGAGATAATAGTTAAACTTATGAGAGCTGACGAGATCAGCAGTACTGAATAAATGGATTTGAATCTGTGTCTTCTGATCCCAAGTTCAGCTCTTTTTCCACTGTATCATGCTGCTTCATAATATTGATTCAACATTTTCCACAAAATCATGTCATATAGATATGGGGGGAAATAATGAATTTGTTTAGTAAAGCACTTTCAGCCCCTCAGAGAAAAAGTTTAAATGAAAAGTATTATCTCTACCAATTATGGTGTCAGAGACTTTACCATGAAGCTGATTTTTTTTCATCAAAAAACCTCAAGTATCTATAGTAGCAAGAAGAAGACTCTCATCTCTTCTAAGGTATCTTAGAAATTAAAAACTGGGCCACTGCATAGCCAGTCTCCTGGTTTTTGTCATTTTAATTACCTTTCTTCAGTTTGGGCAGGAGTAAGGAAAATTCAGATTATACTTGTCCTCTTTTTGCAAGAAGTGTGGTTTTTTCATAAATGGACAAACAGTCTTTTCCCATCCCTTTCAGGGGAGTCATGGCAATCAGGAAAATAACTACTCTAAGACATCCTTCCCCATTCTGGTTGGTCATGTGGATGGTCAAGAACAATCCTATGGGTGGAGAATGCCTGTCAATCATACTTCCATACTGGCCTGACTAGGATTAATAACAGTTGCATTAGAGAACACTTTTCTAGAGTGGGGGTAGAGCTGAAATAGGACTGAGTATCCCTCAACAGTATTCCTTATCTGTGGTATCTAAACTATAATAGAATTGATATGGGGTCCCAGGTGCTCCAGAACTTTCACATGGACTGTGAAGTTGCCATCAATGACCTAGTGAATATGGAGCTATGTGCGAACTATGTCTACCTTTCAGGAGTAAGCACTTGGGTCTTTTGATTCCTTTAAAGTTATAAGAGGTTGGAAGTTTAATATTTTAACCTTTCAGAAAACCAGCAAATATGTATTGAATGTCTGCTACTGAGAGGCTTGCTAAGTAGCCAAAGCTCACATACAAATTCTACAAAATATGTGCAATTCATATGTGTAGGTAAAACAAGTTTGTAGGTAAAGTCATATCTGGCTTATCTCTTTTCTTTCCACCTCTTTTTTCATAAACATTTAGCAAATTGTGTTCAACTTGAAATTCAACTGCCAGTTGTAAAATTACTGCCAGCAGCAAAAACTAACCCTAGTATATCTTGGGAGGATTTTCTTCCCATTTCTCCATAATAGAGCACCAAGCAAAGATCCTCATTTTGCAAATGTTATACTTTGTGGGGAGAGTCATAACTTTATCCAGATTCATAAGCATATCATTTTCGCTTGTATAGAAAGTAAAGTGGGAGAATTAGATTATATCTCTAAGGTCTCTTCTGCTCTATATTTCCTATCAGTTATGTTCCCAGTAAAGTAATGGTACTAAATATAAAGAGGAGGAAAAGATAAGGATGAATTATCAACAGAAACAGAATTGTGATTTTCAAAGATTCATGACCCATAGGTCAGTCAGTCAATAAACATTTTTATTGAGAGCCTACTATATATCAGACATTGTGCTAAGCAAGAACTTACTGGGTTATCAGATGAAGAGAATGACGCCGCAGTGCTGCACACTTATATGAGGAGCAGAATTGGTACAGGAGCTGAGGAAAATGTAAATCTTTTTTCTTTGAGAGAGGACACAAATGATTCCAGACTCTCTTCCAAACTCTGGAATGAAAGAAAAGATTTTGGGACATAAAGAAACTAGTTTCTCAACATGTCTCTAATTCCCAACTTTGATCTCTAGAGACTTTGAAGAATTTCCTTTAAGATGAGATTGGGGCCCTTACCTTCAATGAATTGAGCAATCTCACTTCCAGTGGGAAAGCTCATTCATTATGTATGTTTTTTTAGTATAGGCAAATCAATATAACTTCTCTGATTTTTGTTTCGTATCTGTTTGGAAAAAAATGGTTTACTTATTATTCGCTATTTGTGATGGTCCTTTGTGTAAGAAGTATCTGGCAGGTCAAATCTTAAGCTTGGGGTACCACTTTCCTTTTTAAGGATTAGCAACCAGAAAAGCTGTTTGAGTCTAAAATAAAACCATTCTTTTAGATTACCAATTTTTGAGGGAGTTAGATATAATTGTGTCACCTTTACATGTTTCCCTCCTGGCAAGAATCAAAGTCTCCATTGGGGGGAGGGGTGGGCAAGATTCCTGAGATATCTATTAAAGCCTTCCTGTGAACCACATTTAAGTAAACTTATGTTTATCTAAATATACATGGTCATGCAGACAATATGGATGAGGCATGCATTATTCATAACGAAGGGATCAAATCCTGGTGATGTCACAGAAAAGCTTTCAGAGCACTCAGTATCTTCTTTAGTGTATAGAGTAGCACTGTCAAAAAAACATTTTGATAAACTTTTTTTAAAAAATCATTTTTAAAGTTCTAATAGGTTTAGTTCAATTCCTTTCATTGCTTTCCTTTGTGTGTATGCTTTTAAACCTGAGACAATCAACCCTCTTTTCAATTCTTTCAGTATAAGGTGTTTTAAAAAAATAATCACAGATATTCCTCTATTCCCAGGCTCAGGCTAAGAAAGACAGTCAAAAAGATTCTTTCTTGGATGGGATTGTTCTCTATCAACAATGTCCTTTTCCTGCTATGGCATACACAATTACATGCATAAATGCATACATGTAAATACATATACACACATATATGTGTGGGCATGATGTGCAGTATACATATATACATATGTATATATAGATGCACACAGGCATGCATGTATACACCCTTACACATACTCTCACATGCACATGTACATGTATACAAACATATATACATAAATATATATAAGCCAGTTCATACCAGATTATAAGAACTAATTATTAAAATTTTATTATGAGCATCTATACCTCAAAATTGACAAACACTATAAATCAGGATTTGATTTAAATTGTTTGATTAACTGTCTAGACTACAAAAGTGAGAGAAAAAGTTAATAATGCAGATTTAACATGAAAATGTATCATAGATACTTTTTTTTGAGAGTCAGTTGTTAAATGTATATCAGTATATCACCGAATATGTGTGTATATATGTGTGTATATGCATACATGTATAGCAGTAATATGGGTGTACATGCATATATGCATGTATATTTGAATCCACATGGTATAGTGATAATAATAATTTAACATTTATATAGTGCCTACTATGTGCCAGTAACTGTGCTAAGTGCTCTATAAATATTATCTAGTTTGATCCTCTCAACAACCAGATGCCATCAGAAGTGAAACAACTTAGCAAGGATCACACAGCTAGTAAGTGAGGACAGATCTGAACTCACATCTTCCTGTCTGAACTCACATCTTCCTGACTCTAGGCTTGGCCTTCTACCCGCTGTGCCACCAACCTGCCTCTCACCCCCAAAGTACACAGATTGAAGAAAGGAATATGCATTTAAATAGTACCTACTATGTGCTAAGCATTTTTTCTTTTTCTTCTTTTTTTAGGCAATTGTGGTTAATTGACTTGCCCAGGGTCACACAGCTCGTAAGTGTCAAGTGTTTGGTCTGAGGTCGGATTTGAACTCAGGCCCTCCTGACTTCAGGGCCAGTGCTCTTTCCACTGTGCCACCTAGCTGCCCCTAAGCACTTTTTACAATATCATTTCTGGACAAAAACCTGTCCTGGAAGATACCGGCTCTGTGACGCTGGATGTATCTTGTAATTGCCCAGTGCTCTAGACAATTCCGAGTTATAAATTTCAGAAAAGGAGATGACCTTCAATGACAGAGGGAGTTTCCTCACCTGGGATATCTGCGTACAAATTAAATTACAGCTTCAGTTCATATCCCCATCTCTATAATACATATGTATATACATATACACATATATATGTATACTTTTCCATTCATTTATTTATGGGTACATGTGTATATCATATCCTTGCTGTAACATACAAATCCAAGTTTATTTGTTCTTAGTTGTGGTCTTTGACCTTTTGTTTCCTGACAATTAAAAAAGTAATTTTTTCATGGTTAACTATTACATAAACATTGATAAATAGCCATGACCTCAGTATCATGATAGCAATATATGTGCATACCTTTATTCTTGTTTATAGTAAGAATACAATATATAATATAACAATATATAATTATATATGCAATATAATATAATATAAGTGAAGGAATGAGAAGGGGACTTTCAGCTGGGGCCATGACTTAGAAGCATTTAAGATAAGATCACCCATGTGCTGGAGTGATTAGATTACTCTCCTACTTCTGGCTCCAAGGTCTATCACTTCTTGAGCTTGGTTTAAATAGTAAAAGTGGGGAATTGAAAGGGCAGGGGCAGTTCGGGGGAATTACAACCAGAGTTAGAAAACAAAGAAGCAAAAGCAAAATATCATTGTTAAAATACTTTTGTTATAATGCTGGGCCTTTGTTGGAGAGTGAATATCAGATCACTAAAGGCGTCAAACAATTTCTCAACAGTAAACTAGCCCCTTTTCCTCCCTTTACTCAATTCTGGGTTCAGCTCATTGTTCATGAACAGTGTGCCCAATGCATATATACTGATAGATTAGTCTAGGGGTGGAGATCCTGCAACCTTGAGGTGGCCCCATGTGGCCTTGAAGTCACAGGTTCCCCACCCCTAGATTAGTCCATAGTTCTGCAAGAACTACATTTTGAATTCTGGGCAATAGGCAATTTTCACATATTTAGGGTTTTCCTCTATGGATAGTTAAGCCAAACTTTTTGTGTGATTGCAAATCCCATTTAGTAAATCCTGCAATGAATGATTCAGGGCTTGATGTAATCATCACAATGCCATAGGCATTCATGAAGACTCTGAAGGGCCTCACCACTTTCTATGGATAATCGTTTCCAATTTGACCCTAAGCACTTAGCACAGTACCTTGCACATAAGAGATGTTCGATAAATGTTTATTGATGGAATGATTGACTAAGCTGGACATTCTCATGAGAGAGGCAAACTTTTTTTTCATTATATATTTTTCAATTGATATACATTTATTTTCTGTACCACCTGCCCCTTCTATGTACAGTGGGGGAAAAAAAGAATAAGAAAAACAAATATGCATAGCAAAGTGAAACAAATTCCCACACAGGCTATGTTCAGAAATCTATTTCTGATTTTGTGCTCTGACTATATCATATCTCTGGTATTTGGTGAGGAGCACAGATTGACAACTGTGGTTGGTCATTGCTTTGATCAGAGTCCTTTAGTCTTTACAATGTTATTAACGTGTAAATTATTTCTCTACTTATGCTCACTTTTTGTTGTTGTTGTTGAGTTGTTTCAGTCAAATCCAACTCTTCATGACCCTATTTGGAGTTTTCTTAGCAAAGATGCTGGAATGGTTTGCCATTTCCTTCTCCAGCTCATTCTACAGATGAGGAAACTGGGGCAAACAGGGTTAAGGGACTTGCCCAGGATCACACAGCTAGTAAGTGTCTGAGGATGGATTTGAACTCAGGTCTTTGTGACTCCAGGCCCAGGGCTCTATCCATAGTGCCTCACCATGAACTCATGTAAGTTTTCCCAGATTTTTCTGAAACCACTCTTTCATCATTTCTCATATACCAGGGATGAGCAAGTCGTCATAAACTTTAAAACAAATACGAAATTTGATAGCATAGTAAAAACCTACTTTTCAGCAATGTGAATCTAGTCAGTGTTTGTTGTGCTTGGGGAGAACTCTTCATTCATTTTAGGAGAATACATATTTTCAAAAACATTGGCATAATTTGCAAATTCCTACCTGATTTAAATAGGTTTGACCATACAACCTTCTATTCAGTAAACTCCAAGGGCTCCATATCACCTCCAGGATCAAATGCAAAATCTTCTCTTGGTGTTCAAAGACCTTCATAAGCAACCATCAAATCCCCTAACATCTCCCGTCTCCCACCAACTCCTTTCCAGTCTTCTTACACCTTACTACCCACCACATGCTACTTGAGCCTGTGACACTGGCCCCCTTGCTATTCCATAAAGAAGACACTCCACCCAGCTTCCAGCATCTTCTCTGGCTGGTCGTCCTTCATGCCTAAAATGTTCTCCCTACTCATCTCTACTTCCTGACTTCCTTCAAGTCCCAACTAAAATTTCTTCTATAGGAAGCCTTGCCCAATCTCTTGATTCTAGAACCTTCCCTCTGTTAATTATTTTTTCATTTATCCCATATACAGATTGTACATATAGCTCCTTGAGGGTGGGGATTGTCTTTGTCTAGTCCTTAGCACAGTGCCTGGCACAGAATAGACAATTAAATGCATACTGACTGACTGACTTATTTGAACAACCCTATTTATCTTCCCTTTTGTCTCTGCACATCAGGCCTACTTCTTTGACAGGGATGATGTGGCTTTATACCACTTCAAAACATTCTCAAAAAATCAATCTGATGAGAAGCTGAAACATGCTCAAAAATTCCTGAAATACTTAAATAAGAGAGGAGGCCATATTGTCCTACAGGACATAAAGGGGAGAGCTAAACTTTATGGGATAATACAGAGTCAGAAACATAGAATGATTTCATTAGGGACCTTAAGGACTCTTACAAATAAACTTAATCTTTAAACCAGTTAATTTACAATTGTTCAAAACTCTACTAATGTTACCTGATTTTAACACTGTCACTTCACCTCTTGGCTATACCCAGCTTCTATTCTTTCCCATTCTAAAAATAAAGACAATAAATATATCTGCACATGTTAAATGAATATCACTCCCCCACCGCCTCCTCATAAGAAATTTAATTAGAATAATATATAGATTCATACATGGAAGTGACTTTAGAGTTATCTGGTCCAACCCACTCATTTTACAGATGTTGAAACTGAGACCAAAAGCAGTTAAGTAGCTTGTCAAAGGTCACATGGTTTTTAAGTGAAAGACCTAGAATATGAACCTAGTGAGATGTAGCCTTTTCTTTGGTATGTGACAGTTAGGCCGTAGCGGATAGAGAAACTGGACTTGGACTCAGGAAGACCTGAGTTCAAATACTGCCTCAGACACTTGCTAGCTGTGTGACCTTTAGCAAATCACTTTAAACTCTCTCAGCCTCAGTTTCTTAATCTGAAAAACGAGAATGATAATGACACTTATATACAGGGTTATTGTGAGGATTGTCTGAGATAATATGTGTTAAGTGCTTTGCAAACCATAAAGCACTATATAAATGTTAGCTATTACCAGAATCATTTCTCTTATTATTATATAATGGATATCATAATAATATTATAATAGATAAAGTATTGGAGTCAAGAACATCTAAGTTCAAAATCTATTTTGTACAGTTATTACCCCTGTGACCATGGGCATGTTCCTTCGCAAGGAACTCAGACTGTTTTTTTACTAAGTAATAGACCAGATGAGAATTACTGGATAGAGGAAGTTGCCACAAAAAGTGCCTACATCTGCTTTAAATTAGGACTGTACCAATCTGAAGTTCTAGGCATCAATCATCCAAATAATTCTCACACTTAGGTATAAAATATAAGATTGTAATTTAAAAGACAGTATACTGTTCATGATTCTCAGTCATTCTCTAATTGAATTTGAATAGAAACCAGAGCGTGATGACTGGAGAAATAGCCTAGAAGTCCTAGAAATAGTCATGCAGATGGAAAAGAAAATAAATCAGGCCCTACTAAACCTGCACAATCCGGCAATGGAAAAAAGTGACCCACATGTAAGGATAGCAATAGAATTTCTCTGTTTCACATTTTCACATTTGATTCAGATTGCATTTGTATGATGTACATAGCCTTTACCTCTGAAACATTTCTTCAAAAAAAAAATCTCTGTGAGATCTTCAGTAAGGTAACAAAGGAATATAAGCACTCAAGGACCACAATTAGACAGTTAATTACTCATGGACATGCCAGCGTATGACCCCCCCAGGCCTTCAGTTCCATAGGCAAGCATACACGAGAAAGAGAACACAGTCTCTGTGCTTACAGCTGATCGTTGTTGCTGACCTTATTCAGAGGACCTAGGTGGAAAGACAACATTAGGATGAGTCAATCAGTGGATGACCTGGGCTGCAACTCCCCTTATCTATCACAAGGGCATTGTGGTTCAGAAAGCTTGCTAACTTTGCATACAGAGATTAGAAGAAGTTTGCTAAACTGATTATGATCAGGAGAACCTCACATTCCTTGACTAAATGAAGTTGACTAAACCAGTTATTCGGGACATAGAAAATTCCCAGGTGATTCAGTGTGACCACTGAATCACTTTTGTCAGCTCAGCGAGCAATAGGCCAGTTCTCACAACATCTTAAGCAACCTATCTGTCTTGACTTACCATCAGAGATGTCGATGAGAAAGGCAGTGTGTTTGGGTTATTTCTTCTTGGGAAGGACTCTCACAGGGCCAGTATTTCATTCCTTTCCTGTTTTCCTCTGAGTGTCCTAATGAAATCACTCCCTGGCACTGTACTGCACTGATGATCACATCTTCCATGTGATTTCTTGCTTTTCTATCTTCAGCTTTGTGACTTCCTGGAGCGGGAGTATCTAGATGAGCAGGTGTCAATTATCAAGTGTCTTGGAGACTATATCACCAACCTGAGGAAGCTGTGAGTTCCTGTGGCCTTGGGGAATATGTCTTTGACAAGCTCACCCTGGGGGACAGTTGCTAAAATCTCTATATTCTAGAACAAGTCTATTCTTGCTGACATCCCACTAAGATAAATGTCCTGAAGGAAAATAACTTCTTTTGTGCTTGTAAATAAAGCTTGGTGTTTAAACCATTGTGGCCGTGGCTCCATTCATTATGTTATACATATAAAGCTGCCCTTTAAGAAAAAAATACCTCCATAAACTCATCTCCAATTATGTTAAGCCAAAATTATCTATTGAAATAGAGTAATTACTTAAATTTTTCATTATTTGTAAGTAGCAAAGATTTGAGATTAAGAAGAAGGAATCTTCCTGGTTGCAACTAGGGAAAGGTCCTGGGCAGGCTTCCAAATTCCCTCAGATCTTCATAAATCATCAGAGGGAATTGGAGTTAAGGGTATTCTTGCCTAAAACAAAGGGATGGACTAAATGATTCTTAACTCCACAAAGACAGAAAATAACAATGATTTTCAAGCTTTCCCCTTAAATGCAGCACTTCACATGCCAATGAATCAGGCCTGCACAACCGGTGGCCTGCAGGCAGCTCACAGCCTTCTGGCCGTATGCCATATGCCAAAGAATTTCCTCTATGTACAAAAGATGTTTTCCTCGACATTTTTCACACACTGCTGGAAATCCTTTGGTAAGTGAGCAGCAAGCAACCCGAGGACCATAAGTGGCCAGCCTCCTACAAGTTCTGCAGGTCTGCAATAAACAAAGATTTGCATAAGAATTTTAAAAGCTATGGAAAAATAATTGCATATTGTTGTATGCTGGAAACAACAGCACAATATAACTTTTACAGTTTAAATTAATGTAACCTTTTGTGTGCAAGGTGGATTTTGTCATTCTTTTTTAGATAATAGTTCCCAGTATCATAGCTATGAGTTCCCAGGATCCATGGCCACAAATAGTTTCTACTACCAGATTTTACTACACTTGTGCTTGTGCATCATTGCATAACTTTGCAAAATATGAACATTTGTGCTTAAAGTTTTAAACATCTGCTGTGTGTGCTATGCTAAGTCAGCATAATATTGCTAGAGTTAATGTAAACTTATAAAACTACTAGGCAAAATGCCTTCTTTGTTACCCTATAAATCAAGTGGGCACTGGCTAAGGGTTGCAGGTGTCTTTCCTCAACTCCTCCTTGCTGCCACCCCCTTGGAGTACTAAAGTGGTATGAATCCCCTGTCTGTTGCTCTGTTATCTTTATCTGGTTTGTCTGAATCTACTGTGAACCTGGAGGAGCAGAGCTCCTGCCTTACACTTGGTGTAGCAATCCGGCAGGATCAAATCAAAGAGTGAATGGAGAATACAGGGAATAGGAAGGGGGTCTTGGGGTAGCCCTCCACTGACATGTGGTTTAGTGTAGTTAAGGTCCTAAAAAATTGGACTCCCCCCCCCCCCCAGGAATGGAAGGATGTGTCTCCTAACCCCAAAGGCTTTGAGGAAGCCTTGTTGAAACTTGGACAAACCATTGACAGTAATGGAGCTAGAAGCGGAGCGGGGGGCTGCTTGTTGGCTGATGCTAACTGTTGTAAAGAAAAGTAATGACAAGGTGTTGTTAGTGGAAGCCAGTCTCTGGGAGGTTCAGGCTGAATTATTTCAGGAGTGGGAAGAAAGTTAGACTTGGGAGAAAGCCTGAGAAATGTTAGAAACCGAGCCTAAAGTTCTTAGAGCTCGGGTGGTTACCGAGGAGGACGATGAGGAGGAGGAGCCTGAATTTATTGTAGGGTGGCAAAGAAGCCAGGCTTCCTCCTAAGAGTCTCCTCGGGCACTAGCCGAGTACTTCATGAAATCCTGCAATGACGCTGCCCTCACCCTAGGGCCCGAACCCTCTCGGGCTGGCACCTCAGGGAGCTTTTTAGACAATGACTTGAATCTCTGTTCAGGTTTCAAGCGTTACCACAGTTTCAGCAACACTTTATTTGTCCGCTCATCTAATCTGCTCCTGTCTGCCTCGGCTGCTGTCAGGTCAGCCCACATCTGATTGCGGGTAAGTTTGACATATCCCTTCTGGGCTCCTTTCCCTTTTTTTTTTCTTGCGTAACTGGGTGGGGACTGGAGGCCTTACGTTGAATTTGCAGTGTATTGGTCCCCAAAAAATGTACAAAGGGTGTTAGCACTGATGGATACTGGGTCAGAAAGCTCTTTGGTGTATAGTAATCCTAAGCAGTTTCCTGGGGAGGCCGCTGTGATAGATAGAGAGATATGGGGGATGCTCAATTCAGGTTAAGAAAGCAGCTATTCCACTGGGAATAGGAAGGCTGCCCCCTAAAGAATATGAGGTTTACATCTCCTCTATTTCCGAATACATCCTAGGTATCCACGTACTGCAAGGTTTGTGGTTTTGGACTTCCGTGGGTGAGTTTTGTTACCCTATAAATCAAGTGGGCACTGGCTAGGGGTTGCAGGTGTCTTTCCTGCGTGTACGTGGGGTGAAGGCAGTCACCGGGGGTTATGTGAAGCATGAACCGCTATGGTTTCCGACCCCTCGGAGAGTTACTCATGCAAAGCAGTATCTTTCACCTAGATGGCGTAAGGAAATTGGAGAGACTATTTTAGAACTTGAGAAGGTTGGCAGAGTTCGGCCAACACATAGCCCCTATAACTCCCTTGTGGCCAGTGAAAAAGCCCAGTGGCTCTAGGCATATGACTGTAGATTATAGGGAATTAAATAAGGTTGCACCCCTCTTGCATGTAGCGGTACCTTCTGTGATAGCCCTCATGAATCAAGTAAATCACAAGCTAGGGACTTATCATTGTGTTTTGGATTTGGCAAATGCTTTTTGCTTTACCCCTATTGCCCCAGAAAGTCAAGAACAGTTTGCCTTTTTGTCTAAGGTGGGACAATGGACATTTCAAGTGTTAACCCAAGGCTATTTGCATAGCCCCACTTTGTGTCATGGCTTCCTGGCCACTGATTTGGCTGAATGGGCCAAGCCAGAATATGTGAAACTGTGTGACTACATTGATGATATCTTGTTAACCAGTAACTCTCTTGCAGACTTGGAAGCTGCTGCCCCTACCTTGGTGGAAAAGAATGGGCGGTCAATCAAGACCAGGTCCAAGGGCCTGGCTTATC